ACGTCATTTGCTGACTTCTGCACCTGCTTCAGCTTGGTCATTACTCCACATAACATGCCTGTCTCCATCCTCTTTGTCTGCACTGCTACACATGTGCTGCGACGCAGGGTACAAAAAGCTTATTTAGTGGGAATTGCCACGTCATTTGCTGATTTTTGCACCTGCTTCAGCTTGGTCATTACTCCACATAGCATGTCTGTCTCCATCCTCTTTGTCTGCACTGCTACACATGTGCCGTGTCGCAGGGTACAAAAAGCTTATTTAGTGGGAATTGCCACGTCATTTGCTGATTTTTGCACCTGCTTCAGCTTGGACATTACTCCACATAACATGTCTGTCTCCATCCTCTTTGTCTGCACTGCTACACATGTGCCGTGACGCACTGGTAGGACAAAAGTTGCGCTTGTTGAGCTTCCCACAGTGAACATGTTTGGCTTCTCGTACCCCGGTCGCATTTCCACCCTCCAAAAGCTTTAAAATCTTATATATTTAAAAGAGGGTGATAATTGACCGTCCCACACCTGCCACACAAAACGGACTTGAAAATGCGATCCGCGGTTGACCGACATGGATGTCTTGTAAAGCTTTCAAGAAGCATAAACTTTGTTCCTCCTGAAGTAGATATATAGATATATAGATAAATAGATATATAGATTTAAAGATATAAAGATATATGTATATATACATATATAGAAATATAGATAGATATATACAGATATATAGATATATGGTGGAATATAAATGTATATATAGAGAGAGATAGAGATATAGAGATATTTATATAGATATATAAATATATAGATATATATAGATATATATAGATATATATATATAGAGAGAGATATAGATATATATAGATATATATAGATATATATATAGATAGATATATAGGTAGATATATATAGATAGATAGATATATAGGTAGATATATATAGATAGATATATATATATACATAGATAGATAGATAGATAGATAGATATAGATAGATAGATATATAGATATATGTATATATATATATGTATCTAGATATATAGATATAGATATATATATATATAGGGATGTATAGAAATATAAAGAGATATATCGAGATATATAGAGATATATAGAGATATAAATATATATATATAGGGATATATAGATATATATATATAGATATATATATATATAGATATATAGATAATTATATAGATATATGATATATATATATAGATATAGAGATACAGCCATAGATGTAGATATAGATACAGATATTGATAGACATAGATAGATATAGATACGTAGATATAGATAGATATAGATAGATATAGATGGATATAGATGGATATAGATAGATATAGATAGATGTAGATAGGTACAGATAGATATAGATAGATATAGATAGATTTAGATAGAAATAGATAGATACAGATAGATCTTCCTTCCTTCCTTCATTCCTTCCTTGCTTCCCTCCCTTCCTTCCTTCCTTCCTTCCTTCCGTCCTTCCTTCCTTCCTTCCTTCCTTCGTTCCTTCCTTCCTTCCTCCCCTTTCCTTCCTTTCCTTTTCTTTCCTTTTCCTTTCCTTCTCTCCTACTAGTTGCTATTGTTTTTAGACCGATTTTTTTTTTGATCCGGAAAAATTTTTTCTTGATCCGGATTTTTTTTTCTTGATCCGGAAAAAAAAAATTAACCCCTCCCCCGCTGGTTGGCATCCTGAGTTTTGTTCGTCAGTTAGACTTGCCACGGTTGTTCAAAGGTGTTGCAGGGACGGAAATGGGCCCATTTTGCTGATCTCCATGATTTCCAGAGATCCACCTGGGTCGATTTTCCAACCGGGAAGGGTTGACAGCCCATCATCAAGGCCACCAGTTCACCACAGGTCGACTGACTTGATGTGAAATGGCATGGGGCAAGGTCTATCTCGGAATCCAGCCAAAAGTAGGGTGTCCAAAAAAAAACATCGAAATCATATGCAGCCAAGCATGCCAGGTACTCAAACAACAGACAACATGAATCCTGTCCTATGGGTTCCAATCCCAACTCCAGACAGGTCGTGAGTCACTTGTAATTTCCTCTCCAAAATCATCAAAAAATCCGAAAAGCTATGACAGGGGATGGGTCAAATGATCCCCAAACAGGATAGCTTCAGCAAACAAAAACTACCCGGCGCCTGGTTTACCGCGCGTGTGTTTTGGCATTTTCTCAAGAGTCTTTATGATGACCTTCATGTCTATTTCTTGGTATTTGCAGGACTTTTGAAGCAATCATCATCATGTTTGGCCACAAAATGTGGCTAGTTCCATTGTGTTTTATTTTTTCATCATTTTTCACTTGTATTTGCACGCTTTTGTGAACGCCAGGAGTAGAAAGAGGCTGTTTCAGGATGCCTTGGTTTTTTGATGGATTTGCGTTTCGCCACAGGGAGACAACAACAAAATCGGACTTTTCGGTTTTTTTCTGGCGCAGCACTTTCACTGCATGTTCGCTCGAAAAGTCTCGGCGTGTGCAAGTGCAAGAGACGAGGTCGGTAGTGTAGCATCACGTATGTGTGCAAGTGCAAGAGAAGAGACCGGTAGCGTAGCATCACGTATGTGTGCTAGTGCCATTGAACGTTATTAGCCCACCCCACCCCACCCCAACCCATCTGTAGCGTAGCATCAGGTATGTGTGCAAGTGCAAGAGAGAAGGTCGGTAGCGTAGCATCAGGTATGTGTGCAAGTGCAAGAGACGAGGTCGGTAGCGTAGCATCAGGTATGTGTGCAAGTGCAAGAGACGAGGTCGGTAGCGTAGCATCAGGTATGTGTGCAAGTGCAAGAGGCGATGTCGGTAGCGTAGCATCACGTATGTGTGAAAGTGCAAGAGAAGAGACCGGTAGCGTAGCATCACATATGTGTGCTAGTGCCATTGAACGTTATTAGCCAACCCCACCCCACCCCACCCCAACCCATCTGTAGCGTAGCATCAGGTATGTGTGCAAGTGCAAGAGACGAGGTCGGTAGCGTAGCATCAGGTATGTGTGCAAGTGCACGAGACGAGGTCGGTAGCGTAGCATCAGGTATCAGGTATGCTGCTCGCAAGTGCAGAAGACGAGGTCGGCTTTCGGCGTCGGTAGCGGTAGCCGGTAGCGTAGCATCAGGTATGTGTGCAAGTGCAAGAGACGAGGTCGGTAGCATAGCATCAGGTATGTGTGCAAGTGCAAGAGACGAGGTCGGTAGCGTAGCATCAGGTATGTGTGCAAGTGCAAGAGACGAGGTCGGTAGCGTAGCATCACGCATGTGTGCAAGTGCAAGAGAAGAGACCGGTAGCGCAGCATCACGTATGTGTGCTAGTGCCATTGAACGTTATTAGCCCACCCCACCCCACCCCACCCCAACCCATCTATAGCGTAGCATCAGGTATGTGTGCAAGTGCAAGAGACGAGGTCGGTAGCATAGCATCAGGTATGTGTGCAAGTGCAAGAGACGAGGTCGGTAGCGTAGCATCAGGTATGTGTGCAAGTGCAAGAGACGAGGTCGGTAGCATAGCATCAGGTATGTGTGCAAGTGCAAGAGACGAGGTCGGTAGCGTAGCATCAGGTATGTGTGCAAGTGCAAGAGATGAGGTCGGTAGTGTAGCATCACGTATGTGTGCAAGTGCAAGAGAAGAGACCGGTAGCGTAGCATCACGTATGTGTGCTAGTGCCATTGAACGTTATTAGCCCACCCCACCCCACCCCAACCCAACCCATTTGTAGCGTAGCATCAGGTATGTGTGCAAGTGCAAGAGGCGAGGTCGGTAGCGTAGCATCAGGCATGTGTGCAAGTGCAAGAGACGAGGTCGGTAGCGTAGCATCAGGTATCTGTGCAAGTGCAAGAGACGAGGGGGGTAGCGTAGCATCAAGTATGTGTGCTAGTGCCATTGAACGTTATTAGCCCACCCCACCCCACCCCAACCCACCCCACCCCATCGGCCAAAAAAAACACAAAAACGCACGTACGGTAAACCAGCCTCACTCATTCCGATCCAGACAGGCCGTAAGTCATTTGTAATTTCCTCTCCAAAATCAAAAAATCCGAAAAGCTATGACAGGGGATGGGTCAAATGATCCGCAAACAGGATAGCTTCAGCAAACAAAAACTACCCGGCGCCTGGTTTACCGCGCGTGTGTTTTGGCATTTTCTCAAGAGTCTTTATGATGACCTTCATGTCTATTTCTTGGTATTTGCAGGACTTTTGAAGCAATCATCATCATGTTTGGCCACAAAATGTGGCTAGTTCCATTGTGTTTTATTTTTTCATCATTTTTCACTTGTATTTGCACGCTTTTGTGAACGCCAGGAGTAGAAAGAGGCTGTTTCAGGATGCCTTGTTTTTTGATGGATTTGCGTTTCGCCACAGGGAGACAACCAAAAAATCGGACTTTTCGGTTTTTTTCTGGCGCAGCACTTTCACTGCATGTTCGCTCGAAAAGTCTCGGCGTGTGCAAGTGCAAGAGACGAGGTCGGTAGCGTAGCATCACGTATGTGTGCAAGTGCAAGAGAAGAGACCGGTGGCGTAGCATCAGGTATCTGTGCAAGTGCAAGAGACGAGGGGGGTAGCGTAGCATCAAGTATGTGTGCTAGTGCCATTGAACGTTATTAGCCCACCCCACCCCACCCCAACCCACCCCACCCCATCGGCCAAAAAAAACACAAAAACGCACGTACGGTAAACCAGCCTCACTCATTCCGATCCAGACAGGCCGTAAGTCATTTGTAATTTCCTCTCCAAAATCAAAAAATCCGAAAAGCTATGACAGGGGATGGGTCAAATGATCCCCAAACAGGATAGCTTCAGCAAACAAAAACTATTATTGGGGAATTTCTTCAAATAGGGGTACCCCCAAGTGATGATCCAAGCGATTGGTCGTTTGTCATGTTTAGAGTTTCTCTGTGGCTTAGTTTGGAGTCCCCTTCAAAATCCCAAGGCTCCATTAAAAGGTCAAGACAAAAGGCACCTCTACTTCGGTGATGGTCTGTCGAAATCGCACAGCTCGGGAGGGAACTTCACGCGTGTCGCCTAGCAGGAGGTTGGTTTGTCCCAGTCCAAAATTTGGATGGTGGATCATCATTCTTGGGAGGTCTACTGCCCCATTTTTGGAGAAAGATTTGAAGGCTTTGGAGGTTTCAACGGTTTCAACGGCATAGGAAAACCTCCATAATTGATGGTCAGATCCCGTGCTTTTCCGTCTATCCTTTGAAGGAAGCTGTTGAGTATCCATATATATATATACATATATATACACACAAATACATACGTATATATTTGAAAATATACATATACATACATACACATATACACATATACACATATACACATATACACATATACACATATACACACATATCTATCTATATATACATTTACATATATGTATATATGTATATACATACATATATATATATATATATATACATGCATATATATATATATACGTATGTACATATATGAATGCATGTGTCATTCCTTTCCAATCATACACAGCCCCCAGATAGCCTCGTGGAATTTGGTGAATCTGCTCATTTTGAGTGTTCATGTGGCTGTCTTATTCAAGAGATGGGGGTAAATTTGTTCTGAGTAGGAATAAACAGGAAGATGGGTAGAATATCTGTAGATGCGATACTTCTATCGATATATAACTATACACCTATATCGCATAGACCTACGCCCACACACGTTGGCTGCTCTATGTTTCCAAACACTCCCATCAATGTCTCTAGCGCATGTGACCAGTCAACCGATGTACACCCAACCTGACTTGCCAAGATGGAACCCCAAACATGGCAGAATAAGTGTGAATAAGAGATCAACTGGGCATTCTGGGCTTTCCCAGGGTCCCAAGCCTTGTTTCAGTTCTCCCAACTTGTTCTCTCACAAATGTTCGGTTTGGTGAAAATCACCATGATTTCTTCAAAATTTCCAGTTGTCTCCCTCTGAAACCCTTCCCAATCCAACGCCCAGCAGCCTTTGCTGGAATCTAAGCTGTTCGAAGCCGTGTTGGGCGTCATGGTGGTATCCCTCCGGGGCCGGCAAGCAATAAATGGGACTTCAAGCCACAAAAATTGCGATTTGAGCCTGGAAAAATGATGAAAAATGGGGAGTTCACCAAGAACACGATTGATATATTTAGGCCATTTAGGCCCTAAAAATTTCGGATTTTGAGTCATGAAAATTGAGATTTCTCCGCAATAAATTGCATAGAAATCAACAATAGTCAGGGCATTCCTCGAACCATTGATCACTACTTTACAGTGACCAAAACCTTGGTGATGTGGGCACAGATTTGCGGGGAAACACACCAAGGAAAGCTGGGCAAAATGATATGGGCTTGTTTGGAGAAATTGACCTGAGACCATTTCCGCTTTGTCTCGGCGTGTCACCAGACAAATAGTATTAAATAGTCATATCTTCAATGATTGTTGGTGAGAATACAATCTGGAGGTTTCCTGAAATGGGGGTACCCCTAAATCATCCATGTTATTTTTGGTCCATTATAAACCAACCAGCTATTGGGGATGGTGTTTCCCCACATCTTGCCTACAGATTCTGGCTATTAAAATTCATTGCCCGGAGCCCGAAAAACAACCCACAACTCGGACCCACAACTCGGACCAGCACCTACTCATGCGCGGGCTCTCCTTTTCATCTGGCACTGCTGGAACAGAAGGCCTGAAAATCTCACGTGGCATTTTTGTGCCATAAAAGGTGGACGACTCACAAACGAAGGAAAGGCTATGTATACGTTTATACATTCATTGTTTGTTGTATAGTGCTAGAATCTTAAGTTTTGTGCAAATTGTATCAAATAAATGTGTAATCATATACGATATATAGTTTTATATATATATATGTGTGTGTGCAAACATATGTGCGATGGTCAAAACATGATATATGATTTATGGTCATCCATCCCACAATGGGATCATGGCTATATAAATCTTATTATTGGATTGATGACCTCGAAACTTGGACGCCACGTCTTGGGATGTGCATCCCACTTAGTTTGTGGTTTATAACCCATATATATATAATTTCATAAAGCTAATTTAATTGGATTACTAAGTATATAATTTCATGCTAATTATAACCCATATAGCTTGATGTAATGTGGTTAACACCCTGGACAGCACCGCATTTCGCCCAACATCACTGGTAAGGTTTCTGAGGTTTTAGGATCTAAAATAACGGTGTTTAGGGCTGAGATGTTTAGGTTTTAGGGTTTTCCCTTGATTTTTCCATGGTCTTTAGGGTTTAGGGATGTTTAGGGTATGGGGTATCAGCTTCAAGGTCTTAGGCTTTGAAGGTGTTTGGGGTCAGGATGACTTGTGCAATGAAGCACAGGTCTTCCACCTGAGCATATTGAGGTGTTTGGCCGTATGCATATTACCCACTTACCCCCAAGTATGCTAAGCCCTGCACATCATTGAGTTTCTGGGATATTTCCTGAAAATACCTGTACAGGGCCATCAAAGTGCCGTCCATCCTGACTTCAGTTGGATGAACCTCATAGTTCAGCATGCAAAAAGTTGGCTCAAAAGCAGGATCCCCACGGACCGAAATTGGTCATTCTTGGTATCATATGGATCGAAAGCATTTGTTGTGTAATGTTGTGTAGAGTTTTGAGCCATTGCCATATGAAACAACCCCAGTTAGAAGATCTTCCTGGGTTCTCCAAAAAACCACAGTCCGTGTATTGGTTGGGAGAAATAGGAGGTTACCCCGCGATTCTCATCAAGCAATGGCAGGCTTTGGGACACCTTTGGGCCGTCAACAGATCCACCAAACATTGCCAGTTCGTTTACCCATATTTTGATGATGAGGAACCATGATACGCCATATCTTTGGTGGATAAATCATGATCAATCCAGATGGATAAAGCATGGATAAACCATGCATGGATAAAAGCCCAGTTCTTGCCCGAGTTGCCCAGGATTCCCGGTTGTCCTGGGTTTCCCAGCAGGGCGAACCCCATGTCCATGCAGGAGGGCCGCCGCGGCTGCGAGGTCGTGGCCTTCTGCTCACCTCGCGGCGAGGCGAGCAGAACCATCAAAGGTGGAGTGCGCCATCAATGCTGCTTGAAAAACCATGAAAAATGCTGGTTAAAGCCATCAAAATGTTGGATTTAACCATCAACTGAATGGAATTTCATTGAGATTGTTTTATGGGATATATGATTATATAATACATGATAATACTATCTTAACCATATATCACCAAAAATGAAATTAAATGAAATTAACACAACTGTAGTCAACTGTACACAAATTGGGAGTTGTCATGTATCTCAATTCTGTTGAAAAAGTAGCTTCCTTTTTTGAATCGAAATGACCATTCTTGGGGGTTCCAAGTGAGAATATCCAGGGTGTAACTGGGTACATGGCCCCCCTTAGAAGCATGTGATTTCCTCCTGCAGACGTGACGATGACAGTGGAATCACATGACAAAAGAATGACATTGACATTTTCTGGGCTTACTAGGGGTTCCGTCGGGTGCAGGAAGTGTGTGGAGCTTCGGCTCTACGAAACAATCACCAGATGGAGAGGTACTCTGTGTTGGAGCCCACCTCCTCTTCCCTCTTTACGTTGCAGAGGCTTATGAGGGCAGCATCCTTGGCGACTTGTCTTCTTTGTATTCGGCTTCGGTTTGGTGTTTGACCTATTCGTTTGGTGCTTGGTATGGTTGATGCATTGGCATGTTGCGGCATGCCCTCGTTACAAAACCGATGGCAATCCTATGATAACTGTTCCTTGGCTGCGGCTTGACGGGCTGCATGCGGTGACTTGACCCGGTTGCCATGCGCCACACGTATGACGCAAGCTTTGGAGTTGGGGTTTGCTTGGATGCTACGGTGGGTAGCATCTCAGATCTCAGGACTGCTCGGTGGGCTTTCTGCACAATCTGCACAGTCTATGCGTTGACTTCCCTGGTGCTCAATTCGTGGTTCTTTCAGGTGCTTTTGCCACATCTCCATCACAACTTTGCGGACTACATCTTGTCGTCGCCTTCTGGATGCTTGATCAGGTCATGTTTGGAGTTTTTCCACTTTCTTTCTTTGGTCTTGATTTGCTCGCAGGGCAACCCTCGTGTGAGGTGGAAGGTGGCTCCCATGCGGAGCCGCGGTGGACTCTGGGTCCATCTGGGTCCCATCTTTCTCCTGGCTCTTTCTCCGACAAAAGGATAAGCTTTTTGCATCCGAAGCCACCCTTTTTGAGTCACTATGGAGGTGGGGACGATTAAAGACGGTCAACAAACTTACTCAGCAACCATACGAATCAAAAAGGAAAGAAACGACAGCACCACCATCAGAGTACAGCAATCCCACAAAAGGATAGAAAATCAAATCGCCATCAAGACAGTATGCATTCACTCTTCTATCTTGTTTGGGAGCCCTAAGACAAATGCCAACCACTCAGTGATAGATTAAGAAAATCACTACCATCTACTTGATATCACCCCAATGGATGGATTGCGGACTTGCAAACCAACCCCTTCAAAAAGATTGGTAAACCTGACAAATGTTTAACTGTACCATATCCTCGGGGTACCATATGCATAAAACGGTATAACTAACCAGCAATAATGTGGCTGATCTCACAAACACTGCTTGAACTTCACCCACCACGTGCACACCTTTCAGTTTAACCAGCTTTCAGGATTCACCCCAGTTGCAACATCCATTCCCATCGATGGTGTTTCAATCCCATGTCTTGCGGGCTAAGCTAAACGACCTCCCATCTGTCGTTGGTCAAACCCCAATGTCTGTTGGTGGAAACCCTAATTTTGCTAGGTAAACTTTTTTGGGGGTGAAACCCCAACTTTTGCTGATGAAATCAGATTTTTTGCTGGTTACAGCCCAATTTTTCTTGGTGAAGCGCCAAGTTGTGTTGAACCCCAATTTGAGTTGGTGAAACCATGTGAAACCCCTATATTTTGTTGCTTCACCGCGCCTCCATAGGGTCCATGAAACACCAGCTGCACGCTTCGGCCGGGATCCCTGCCATGGAATCCAGAGGGAACCCGAAATCCATAGGCTAGTCCTCACTTTCCCCATGAAAATGGCCATTTTTCAGGTGCCATTTTCAGACACACCATGGCTTGAGCTGGGTGTGAAACAGCCTATGGGAAACAGCTTGGGTAAATATGTATGGATCAGAAGCCTGTTGCCCTAGTGACCAACAATGGACGGATATGGACGGAATAGGCCATGGCAAGATGGTACATAATTTAACGTGATTCACCCAAGTTTGAGATGGTTCGATCAGCAAAGGGTCCCATTTGGGCCATTCTTGGGAAGGTGGTTTCAACGAAGATCATTGATTGACTAATAGTTTGGCGGCGAAACGTTGATGTATGAACAAATTTGATTCATATGTGTACTTTTATATATGTAACGTTGGTCAGTGGGGGAAAAAGAACCTGAACCGTGTTGGGAGTGTTGCTGGGGAATCCCAATCGTTAGAGACGATGGACCTTGGCCTCACTTGTACAACCACGCTGCAAAAGTTGGATCCTGTTCCCGTGCTTGGTTCGATCCCCATTTTGCCAAGTGGTTAAAACCAAGGTTTTCAGGACACCCAACGGCAACGGCAGAAAAAACCCAACGGCAACTGGGCCAACCAGACGTGTGACTTCGCTTGGTCCGTCGCTGAAGCGCCTGACCGTCGTCCGGAATGATCTTGGGGATTCACCAGAAGCTGACCTCGGGACCTAGGGGCTTTATGAAAAGAGCGTAACCAGCAATGACAACGGCGAAAATGAACCATCTATTATTGGGGAAGTCACCTTTGAAAGATGTTGGTGAAAACTTGCCATGAAAATTGGCTACCCCTTTTCATCTATTCTCAACCATGATTCTCCCTGTCTCATTTTGAGTCATACCATATTAAATACATATATGCATATTATATATTATATATATATGTTATAGCCCATATATAAATATCCAGCATATACCCCATTATATCAGTCCCATGATTATTTGTTCAGAATGGTTGAATCGCCAACTATACCCTAAATCGCGGAGGGGCTCAGCAGCTTGCTGCCCATTTTTGGGACACTACTCATCAAGGCATTCACTTTCAGCGTAGTTTTCCCTTCAAACGGCACCAAAACTTGGCATGTAAACATGTATGTATTGTACATATACATATACAGATACACATACAGATACATATACATGTACATATACATGTACATACACATATACATATCTGAACAGGACCCAAGAAACCAAATGACCAAATCCCCAACTGCTCCCCAAACATGTAGATCATTGTAGATCAATGGTTTTGGCCCACCGTTCATCTCCGGTGCCCTGCTAGCTCCAACTCGTTTAGGAAATGAAGAAACCACATATGCGGCAGACAATGTTCATACTTGGGGCAGGACCCAGGAACTTTAAGTAGTTCATACGCCATGAACTGGGGTATATCTGGTGTATAGCTGGGTTATTTCGAATTGTTATCAGTTATTACCCACTTACCAACTGGGATGCACATCCAACTAAGTCATACCCATCATCTCCCGATTTTATCCCAACTCTATCTGCGTTTGTAGATGATATTCACATAAAATCCCTGTGAAATTCAATACTTGAGTAGGATTTTACTATTCAATCTTTTTGGGGAATATGTGTCAATTCACCCTGGCACGCTGGGATTTGTGGATGTTCACATTTCCAAAGTTTACGGAAAATAAGAGGTGTTGATCCACCATATATGTGCCATGGTCAATGGTCACATGGGTTACTATGGGGCGCTAGTCATCCCATCATCATATGAGTTGGGCCCCCAGTACCATCTGGTCATCCAGCAGTTGGCTGTGGAAAACGGACCATTTTTTAGATAATTCACCTGTTTCAAAACAACATGAGCTACCCTCTGGTAAACTAACAGTTTGCGAACTGGAAAATGGTGATTCATAGTTGATTTGTCCCATTCAAAATGGTGATTTTCCATAGTTATGTTAGTTTACCAGAGGGTACATAACAAACCAGTTTGCACCCTTTCTGGCTCTCCGCCTCCGAAAGATTCACAGGGCTGGAGATGCTGTGGATGGTTTGACGAGCCTTGGGAGTCCTGGGCCAAGCTGTGTGAATGAGTACTATGTTTCACTGAAGATACATGTAACCTTACAAAAAACAAATATGAAATTGAGCAGCAAAAAATGGAAATATTGGATTAAAACAAAGGGTACATCTAACCAACAAAATTTGTGACTTTTAGATATTAGGAAGTTACTGTACCTAGCAAGTTCAGCATTTTTACCACAAACAAATGGATGTTTGCCAACAAACATGTTTTAAAGCAAGAAAAATGAGAACTTGACCATCATGATATGCACTGATGTGGCAGGCAGCTACTGCTACCCTAGAATCATCAAGCGTGTCTTGTAAAGTACCCAGGGAAAGCAGCTGATCAATCTTATGTCAAAATTGCTGAGTGTATTATGTTTTTGGGTGTGTCTGAAAATGCCAACTGGCCAATTTGATATGGAAATTGGTGATTCAGAAGGGGATGGAATGGGGTACCCTATTTTTAAACAACCCCAAACAATTCAATTCTTCCTTACTTGAGATTGTTGCTTTTTGTTGGTGTGATGCCCATTGTTCCTGGTCAAGTCTCCATATTCAGGGTTTGAACCTGCAGGATGGTTTCTGACATTCCCCTTTTCTGTGTTAAATTCTCAATTTTTTACAGGTAAAATCCCTGTTGTTGCCAAATAAACTCGATAACAAACCTCCATGTGAGGGATGGTTTTTCACTTCCCATTTTCGAGTATAATTGGGGATGGTTCATGATTGTTGTTTAAATCCCCATGTTTGTTGGTGGCTCGGTCGACCTGAAAACGCGCATTTTTGGGGACGCACTTCCCATAGGCACAGCGCATGTTTGTGCATTTTTACCACGTACGTCAGAGTTTCGCGGGGTTGGGGTGGGGTGGGGCTGATAACGTTCCTTGGCATTTAACATGTTGCTACGCTAGCACATGTGGTTACGCTACACGAACATGGGTCTGATCTTACGCTGATAGAAGATGTTGCTACGCTTGCGCATACCTTGCACATACATCTTCTTATAGTTGAAAATGTGGATTATATGTCCAAAATGTGTTGAATAGATGTTGAATATGTGTTGAATTTCTATGGATTATATGTCGAATTTATGTGGATTATATGTCGAATAAATGTTGAATAGATGTTGAGTACATTCAATCCAGACTCGAAGCAAATCAGTGAAAAACGAGATTATGTTGATCATATATGGTGAAGCCTGTCGGCGCGCGTTTACGGGACGACCGACCGTTGTTGGTTAGACGCAAATTTTGATTTACTGCCCCATGTCACGTCACAACCTGAAGCAAGGCTCTGAACTGCCTGTCTTTGCCTTGGTCCCGGCTGGAATCGGGGGTGTCCATTGTTGGTATATCCCTGATATTTCTTTCTGTGTCTACTTGGTGGGGGGCTCTAACTGGGGGTGCAGTGCCAGCTTACAAATTGGGATGAGCCACTCAGCAGATGTATGCATCTGTTTATCTATTTAGTGGTGTTGAATTATTTCATCTGTGCATTCCTTCATGTATCCATATATTTTTCTAGATATACATGTACTCTGATTCAGATTTGGACATAGATCAAGATGTAGCTTTAGCTACAGGATACATACATACAGAAACTATATGTCCATGCGTGTGTGTGTGCGTGTGTGTGCGGATGCACCTATGCATGCAATATATGCATGCGATACATGCATCTATTCAACTATTCGCTGCTCATGGGGAGTTCACATTCATTTCCAGACCTTGAAAGCACGAATCGTTGTAAAATACGGGCCTGAAATCCAAATGCATCAGCATCATCATCACCATGATTTCATGGTGTCCTCTTCACCAAGTTCCAGGCTCTCCATCCCATACCCCTATCCCCTGCTTGGATGTGCATCCCACTTGGACAGTGGATTGAATTTCTCTCATGTTTAAATGGACAGTTACCATACTCATGAACCACGAACTAACTGAAGTGCACATCCAAGTGTGTATATATATATTGTATATATTGTGTATATATATATACACTATGTATGTATATATATATATGAATCTGATTGTGTAACCATTCACCGTGGCTTGGCTGGCTCCAAAAATCGCCAGGTGACGAGGACATAAATCCGGAGAAGCTGTTGCAGCGGGTCAGGGAGCGACGCCCCGCATTCGCCAGCGAGGTCAACGGAGCCAAGATCTCGGGACACCAGAGGGGTTAAGAGCAAGTCATGTGTTTCTATGAACATGTAGCTATACATATACATGGACAAATACTTGTGTATGTATATATATATTGTACAAAGATATATATATATATACATGTATACAATTGTATACATACATAGTGTATACACTTTGTATTTTATATGTTGGCATGTATGCATTGATGCATATATATATATCGAATATACATATGTACTGTGTTTGTATATAGATAAATTGCAAGGTTGACCCGACCACTACTGTATTTCCTCTACTACCATCGGCTTTGTGGGGAAACTACCGGCAGGTAGTGTTGAAGTTCTGGAGGCAGCCTCTAAAAGTCTGGCCGGGCAATGGGAAATCCTCGCGTTGAACTAGAAAATAATCTATATAAGTTAAGTATTGATTAATATACATGGGGATTTCCTCTTGCAATGTTCAATTGCCAGAGAGTAATCCTTGGTGGCTTCAATTTCCTGGAAATGGTCAATTGGGATATCCATCCCAGAAAGAAACACGTTGAAACCAACAGCCACAGCCAGGTCACAGTTGGTACATCCACCACCCTTTAATGCTAGACGTGAACCAATTGCACAGATGTGACGAAGGACCTAAATTTACAGAACCTATCAGAATGGAACACCAGGTGTCCATCGGAGCCACCGCGTCTTCCCCAGCGACTCTCAGTCTCCGACCCCCTCGGAATTGAAAGTAAAACAACTGGAGGGCGCCTGGAGGAAATCAGAAGACGGGAGCGAGGAAAGTTCAGTGGCGAAGAAGGAAAGATTCCTGACACAATAGGGTAGCTATGGCTACCCTCTGGTAAACTAACATAACTATGGAAAATCACCATTTTTAATGGGAAAACTCACTATAAATGGTCATTTTCAATAGCTACGTTAAATTACCAGAGGCTAGCTACCAGTTGTTTGGATCAGAAGAAATCTCAATGCGAAGCGAGGCCGTTCTACATCCCGAAGCATGTATCCCCATTTGGAGGTTTCTTAAAACGTGGCTACCCCAACACTAGGGATGTCAATGCTAAACACCCATGCCCGTTCTGTATTTTTCCCCATTTCTGCTGGTTAAATTCGGGCTGGTGACATCTGGGGCCCAGGGGTGTCCCATCGGAACAAACGGAAATTTCCGGGTCCAAGTACGTCGAAGCAAAATGGTGGCATGAACCAACAGATTCTTAGCCTGTGTGCTGGCAATCCGGTCCCCAATTTGCAAAAAGCTTCAGCAATTTTGGATTCTCGGTCCAACCCGCAAACGAACAACCTCCAAAATCTGGTGGGAAAGATACTTCCTTAAACACATCGTATCAACAATGCTGAGCCTATACCTGTTGATCAGGAGCCCCAAAAGCAGCATCGACCATGATTAATTTTGGTCAGTCAAGACCCTGGTAGCATCACAAGAATGCATATAGTCCGTCTGGTATGATCTGGTATGTTCATCCGCCAAGTCTTCTTGGCTCTTGGAGCTTTTGACTCATATCTATTTCAAAAAACTCTACATTTACCCATGTGGTATGTAGTCTGCAAACCGCGCCTGGCGGTTCCCCGGGTTTCCTCTGGCCAACAGAAGACTATCCAACACAGCTGACATCGCTACGGGCGGAGTGACTTCAACGGTGCCTGGAGCCAACATGGCCGGAGGGCAAGGTAAGGCGGCCTCCGAGCTTGTTACACCGCACTGGAACCTCCTGCTTTGCGGTCCCTCCATGTTCATGTCTTGTTTCATGCCCCTTTCCAACAACTCTTCACTCCCCAAGTCCCCAACTCCCTCCGGGCTCTGCACCACAAGGCAAAAAAACGAGGCCACGACCAACACGCGAAGACCACTAGCACCACGCTTCTGCAGGTATTCAAGCATGGGAGAGGCCTCCGCCTGTCAGCTGATTCAGCTAATCGACTGGGGTCAGCAGGTTGCCCAAAATGTTTGAAACTCCTTTGAAGGGCCTTCAGGAGGGTACCCTCTGGTAAACTAACATAACTATGGAAAATCACCATTTTTTATGGGAAAATCCATTATAAATGGCCATTTTCAATAGCTATTTGACATAACCAGAGGGTAAGTTTCTGGAAATTAATGGACTCAGCGGATCTGACTGTTGGATACTGTTGGATTTATCGGAGACATATCAAACCAATTGGATCTGGTCAACCATCGAACACAACTGGGGGGCCCTATGTGAATTGTCTGTATGATCAAAAATATTCAAAAATGGTACTACAAAGGCACGAATGCACATGAAGCAGTGAAAGAATGGACACAGCTGCACAAATAATCCAACTAAAGGATTAGATCCACGCTGATCACGGAGTCGACGGCTGATACAGGGGATAGCCACGTCCCAGCTACGTACCATTCTGCCTGCTGAAAAGTCACTAGGTTATGGACCCATTATATAAAAACCCTTCCTATGGGTATATTTTAAAAAAATACATTGATTTAGCCCAGCTTCTAACCATTTCAGCTGAATAAAGTCATCCCAAAGGCCGAAGGCTACACCTCGGAGAGAAGGAAGACCGTGGTTGCAGCCAGCGTACCTGAGACACCGATGATCACCGATGCTCTCAACAAGATTCCTCAAGACTTTGCAGACGCACATGTCCCACATCCAGGGCAGCTTTACCCCTGCTTTCTTTGACCCCATACACGCATGGTAATGGACTCAAACTTCTTCAACACCGAATCCCTAAAGGACCTAACATTTCTGGTTCAAGTGGTACCTCACTGCTGGTCCCTGTACTTCCCCCGGTTCCAGCTCGTGAAAAAACTGTTTCTGGGTTGCTTTCTCAATGGATTGATATTCCAGTAGTAGGACACTTTACAGTACCGGAAACCATGGTTTCTACATGTTTCTACCCCTGATATCCCCTATATAATGTAGAATTGTTCTGATGTTCCTGCTGAACCAACATTCCAGCACATTCTGTCTGAAACTCCAAACAATCTCCAATATCTCTGGGGTCACTTTTCTTGTCTAGGACGCGGCTGCAGCGGTCGTGAGTCCTGGTTTGCAAAACCAGCAAAATGCGGATTGAACCAACAAGACATTGGTTGATGATCGATTCTAGCAGAAGAAGTGAGTATCTTTAGGCCTCAGTATTCGAAACAAACCGCTGCAGTAAGGACAACCGTGACCTTGGGTTCCACAATATGTCAATAATGTTTGCGTTCATCCTTCTTTAGTTGAGATGTTCAACGAATGAACTTGCCGAACTGGAAAAGGTCTCTCTCAATCACCCTCAGGTCCTGTAGATTTTGACGGTGAACCCCAGATTCTCCAATTCTTCCTTCTCGTTCGCCTGGAAAAACGAAACAAGATCAGCCTGAAAAGTTTTCCAGGTTCATCCAATATTCATTTACCCTCAGGTAGTTCAACCTGGCCTCAAAAAATTGCTGAGAAATGGCCATTCGGGTCTGCCTGACACTGGAGGTGTACCCCAAAATTTCATCAAGGATTCGATTTCCGAGTTTTCACCATAATTTTCGGGTAGGAAACCCATGTACAGATTATGATCCGCTCGATCAAAAGGAAATCTCAAAGCAGGTCTGACCTGGGGCGACTGGGCAATCCCATTGTAGCTGGTGAACCGATATTCATACGATTGGTGTAGCTGGTAATCCCCGTTTCAATCATGCCCAGTAAGCCAGGTCGCATAAATGTAATATATTCACCATGAAATATATACATATATATATATATACATAATGTGTATATTAATGTGCAACAATATAAAATAGTATATCATAATATGCAGTACAATATCTGATCATATGTAAATATGTTTTACAATATTTCATCATATTTAAAAATACACAATAATATTTATAACACATAAATATAGTATGTATATATATATATTTAAATAAATATATATTATGTTATTATTTCAATGAGAAATTATGAATGATAACATAGTTTAAAGCAATATATAATAAATGATAGTAATCAAAAAAAAGTGCATGACAGTATATGGTAATATGAAATAATATATAGTCACATATTGATGTGTATATATATATATTATAACTCAAAATATTTACATAGTGACAGTAAATAAACATACATGCTAATATACAATGATATATGACACTATATAGCATCTAACAAATGTGTAATAGTAAAGAGATGTTTAAAAAGAAACAATAATAAAATATTTCAAAAATAGTACATATTATACAATAATAATAAAGAAAATATCCAGCAATAAGGTGATAGTAGAAAAAATGATAATATATATATAAGGATGCGGTAATACTTAATCTTCTACAATAAGATATAATATCAAATAATATATGATAATTATTCAATCTATGATATGTAAAATATATATGTTAATTCATACAAAAAAAAGTAATATATAATTTAAAAAAATATAATATAATATGATATCACATATAATAACATATAATAATATTTAATAATATATAATGATATATAATAATATATAACAATATATAATAATATATAATAATATATAATAATATAATAATATATAATAATATTATATAATAACATATAATGCTATATTATAAGATATTATAATGTATTATAATGTATAAATATGTATAATAATATAATAGCATATGATAAAACAAAATAATTTATTTTAATACTGTATATAGTATATGATAAAACAAAAAAAATAATATTGTATATAGTATATGATAATATAAATGTATATAAAAAGATCATTATATTAACATTATATAGTGGTATAGATTGATATGTAAAGATCTATATATATAACAATACACAATAATATATTACATTATATTATGATATAGTTATTATATGCTAAAATATAAAATAGATCAGTAAAAAGAAATGTAATAGTAAATAGTAACATATTATTACTGTATAAATCATATAAAGATATGATTTACTATATTAACCACTGACATGGGGATACAAGGATGTTTGGGTTTGTCTGAGGACTATAGATGTTATGGCAATTTGAGCAGGAAAAAGCCACATGGCACTGCGACCGGGTCTGCCTGCGCACGGAAAGCACGTTCACCTATCCAAACCTTGGAAGTTCGCAGAAAGGGTAGTTGGCTGTTGGTCAATGGATTGATTTGCTTAGAGGGAAAATTGAAACCGGATACCATGGAAACTTTACCCCAAAAATTTTTGGGGGTTCCTGCACCTGGGCCTGCATGACTGATTGTTTTCACGGTGCATGGTTGTGGAAGCCATTTCCCAAAACCTTAGTAGATAGCTACGTACGGTTGAACCGATGCCAGTATTGATCAAAATTCCAGATACATAGTGATCCCAATTTTCAAAATTCGATGACTTTCTTATATCCATTCAATCACATCCTTGTCAAGACCACAATACATGTCGCTAAATGGACAGATCCACCAACATTCTACCCACATTTGGCTGGGGGCGTTTATGACTCAACGAAGTTTTGCCCAGCCATGGAGTCTTCTCAACATTGGAAGCCCATGAACCATCCCAGGGGGTTCACATAATCCTCCCCAAATTGGGTATCCAACCCATGTCTGGCACAAACCCATATCGTATATTGTATACGCACACATGATGTTGAGAGCAAAATGTTCCATCCTATAGCCTCATGATATCCTTCTATAATCTAGCTGGTGGTTTTAACCCTCGAAGAAAAAATTGGGAGATGTTGGGATCATCCCATCAAATAGCCTTGAAAACAGAAACAAACCATCGACATCCATCGACCAAAAATTCATGGTCTGATACCCTACGTCCTACGTATAGAATTTCTGGTCAAGGCCCCCCAGGTTGCGACCCTCGAGCACCGCACCAAAGAGCACTGCCCTGCACTGCCAGCAGCGCCAGCGGCCGCGGCGCCAGCCACGCTGGCAGCCGGCGGCCCAGCAGGGAGAGCGCCATCTTCAAACTGCATCCTTGGGCTCGGCCGGATGAACAGTGGATCGTAGTGGGATCCACTGGGCGCATTCCATCAAGTTGATTTGGATCATTGGGAAACCAAAGCCCCGCAGATACTCACTTGGCCATATGGAGGTTGAGACGATTCAGAGAAGACTCTTAAAAGGGGAACATACATGAACTTCCACCCCGTTCAACTCTACATTCATTCAAGACATTTCAAAGGGGAAATATAAAGAAACGAGTCTACTTTCACAGGGATTCAGATTCCCACCCGTGATTAGCTTTGCAGCTATTGGCCTCTTAAAAACAGCCAAACATACATTCAGCCACAGAATTTGATCACATGCTTACGGGGGGTACGGATCTCACATTCGACCCTACCGACAACTCACATTCGACAGTTGAGCCCACACAGACTCACATTCGACCCTACCCTGAAAAAATAAGCAACCCTTACAGCAAAAAAACACATTTAGCCGTTCACTTTATTCGACCCTACCTCATCATTTCTGCTTACATTCAAGGGTCGCAAGGGTTCATTCCGCTGGGGAAACCTTGTTCTTCACCAGCTATTCAAAGTTTATTCAGCCATTTAGGGTTTATTTGGCGGGAGCGCGGGAACATTCTACTTACATCATCAAGCCCTGCCAGGGCATGAACTTGCGCCCCGAAAGAAAGTTGGGAAATTACACCAAGTGCTTCCACAAAAGAAAGGCAGCCATGGCAAAACAAACAGAAAATGGTCAACATTTTTATGTGGCTGGTGCAAGCTCTTGGCAGAAAAAATTCTATATAGGGAGTAAAAGGGTATAGGCAAGCCTTGACGGCTCTGAAGATCTGTCGAACATGGATGGTTTACACAGTTTCAGCCGAGTCGGGTAACCGTCTCACTTTGATTCTACCCCATTGGAAAAGCATCAAATATACCCAGCCAGAGGACTTACTGCCCACGTTTACTAAGCACTCTGATTGGTTCCCATTGGTTCACCATGTCTGTCGGGTTGATCCCAACTGCGTGGATGGATTGTGCAGCAAACTACTACAATTCACACATAAGAAACCAGCCAACATCAGCAAAAAACCTGATAATTTCACCAATCCAACTCCCATCAAAGGGTGATCCCCTGAGTGGCCCTGGCCAGGGTCCAGTCACATCCGTCGGCATCCTGGGCGAGACACTGAAGAAGCTGGGGGTGAAAGCAACCAAGAAAGACCAAAAAATTGGGCTTGATACGATGTACCCAACAATAGTCAGGGCTGCTGCTATTCAATAAACTGGAGAGCAATGTTCATAGATCGATTTCCTCAACGGTAGTTTCCCACCAATACCGATATCCATGAAAGCGTTCGCACGAAAAGAGTTTTTGCCTTTTTTCAGCCATCGAAGAAATATGATCAGATTTCCTGACCAATGGTTGTTTTTTCGGTACCATTTTGGACTATTTAATGGGTGCTGAAAATGGTGTTTTTATATCGCCCTAAATAAAATGGCCACTTGAATGGGGAAAATGATGCTGAACCAGGGGATTTTTCGGGGTACCCCCATTTTTCGCCAGTTGAGCAGTGTTCGATACACCTCTGTCGTCTCACAAAAACTGACTGGTTGAGAACCAGATTCCCAGTTCATGAATTGCAATCATCCCCAATTAATACTGCCAAAAATCCTACACCATCCACAACACCATCCACAATTCTCAACCACCATTCATTTTTATGACATCCGAAAATATCTTTGATGATTAAAAAAACACATTTTTATCACCATGGAAACCCCGAAAAAACATCAACTCTGAGTGCTCGCACTCTGCTTCGCCCAGCCACATCTGGGGAGCCTGGAGAGTTTCACGCTAAACCATGGGGCCCAAAAAATGGGCCCAGTGGGGTGCCAAGAAACCCATCGAATCAAGGAAAGCTGGGGATGAGTCCAACTAAACCCACGAAACTCTAAAAAAATCATGGAGTTAAGCAGCTAGAATTGAAAGATTCGACATAACTCAACTACCAGCAAGAAGGAGAAATTCAGCAAGAAATTGAGGAGTCAATCGTGTCAAGAGAATCAACAGAAATTGGGATTCACCAACAGAACAAAGATGTGTTTTTTTCATGCCAGGAATTGCAGATCGCAAAAATGCTAAGGATAAACTGCAAAAATTAAAACCTCAGGATTTCAACACCAAAATCAAGGTCAGAATCATGGGCGGAAGGACTTCCACTGAACGATCATGTCTTTCAAACTTCACTGATACCTACACCTGAACTTGTAGGCTCTTTTTTTCGCTATGTCCAGAGAGAGATGCTGGATTACTATGGTGAATGACAAATGATTCTCGAAATGGGCCAGCATGGGTACCTCCAGTTCCAACGGAGTATCATTATCTTTTCCAAAGGCTAAATTTGATGACAAGAACCATCACAATCCGTCGGCAAATTTGCAATTTGGGATATCCCCCAGTCTGAGACAACTCCAAATGGTCCAAATGAGCAATGCCGTTTTATTCGCATCGTCCCATTACTGCATACTGGTTGGTTCAAAACGAGTTCCTTGTTCCTGGCTTACAAGAATCCGCATATACCCAAGTAGTAGAGCCCTTTTATTCTCACAAAACATCATCAAAAAACATGACCATCATTTAAGCCACTAGAACCGTTCATATTTTTTCGTAGTAGCATTCCTGAGCAGTATCATCGTCAACCATCATGTATCAAAAAAAAAACGTCACCGTGTGCAGCGCAAAAAGATCTCGGTGGCCTCTGGCATGGGCATCCAGCCAAATGGATTCCCCACCTTGGCCATAGGCTTTGGTTGACCCACAAAATTCAAGTCATGTGTGTCTATCTATCTATCTATCTATCTATCTATCTATCTATCTATCTATCTATCTATCTATCTATTCTATCTAATCTATCTAATCTATCTAATCTATCTAATCTATCTAATCTATCTAATCTATCTAATCTATCTAATCTATCTAATCTATCTAATCTATCTAATCTATCTAATCCATCTAATCTATCTAATCTATCTAATCTATCTAATCTATCTAATCTATCTAATCTATCTAATCTATCTAATCTATCTAATCTATCTAATCTATCTAAGCTATCTAATCTATCTAATCTATCTAATCTATCTAATCTATCTAATCTATCTAATCTATCTAATCTATCTAATCTATCTATCTATCTATCTATCTATCTATCTATCTATCTAGTACATATATGTACATGCACATATACTACATATACATATATATATACACATGTATATGTACATGTATATACTTATATATTGTATAATATATATATATTGTATAATATATATATACACACATGTGTATATACATGTAGGTATATATACGTGTGTTTCTTCATCTATTTATGTGTAGTTATATGTACTTATTAATTCATATATGTGTTCATATGTTTGGCATTGCACCTTCCAACTTCAGGGAAGAGAATGCCAGGTTGTCCCATTCACATTGGAATTCTTGGGCCCATCCAGGCATTCTGCTTGGCACCCCTGCCGGAGGATAGCCTGGGCCGCCTCCCATGTCTTGCGTCATGCCAGGCACGTAGCCTGGAACCTGCGAAAGATGCGGCTGGGTGGCTACCTGACCTAACCGAACCGCAAACGCGAACTGGATTAGATGGGTACTTCGATATGTTCGATGATTTTGCGAGTAGAGATGGCTATTTTCCTAGAGAGTGTCATAGGGATTCCAGTGATGGATGACAATTATTTAAAGTATAGTATAACCACTGCTCATTTCAGAGTCAACATGGCTTGTTCGTGGTTGGATCTACTGCTGTTATGGATTGATTTTTTCTGGATATCAATGGCTGGGAAGTCTCATCCCTTTTGAAATGATTGGTGGATAGGAAGGTTAATTAAACCATAGGGGATTAATGAATATTTAATGGTAGGGGACATGGGCACAGAGGAAATGATTGGTGGATAGTAATTTGATGAACTTTGGAGAATAAGAATGGTATCTATGTCCCCTTTGTTTTTCAGACTCCAGACCAGACCCTTGAAAACTGGGCAGTTTTTCTTGCAACTCGTATGTTTCATGACTTTCTTAAAGATGGAGGAACCCACAAAAATCAGGTGCCCGCTGCTAAAATGGAACATTTTGCTGGACACTTGGGGTCCCCGTTTCACGTATCACTGAAAGAAGTGACTTGGACCCTGCAAATGATGGCAATTCCTGATGTTGTCAATACTGATCTTCCACAATAATTCCTGATTTAGAGGAACCCCTGTATTTCTCTGGCAAAGCCTGTGAAATACAAAATTCTGGTCTCGCAGCTAGTCTCCCGCACATCGGACTGCTTTGGAGGGTGGCTGGGGGAGCCGACCAGGAGAAACTGCCAGCCATGTCATTTCTTGCAGCAAAACTTGGGGCTCCATTTTTGTTGGTCGCCGCAGTTCTGAACCTTAGGTATTTTATGGTATTTTACAACATAAATTTCTATAACCCAATCATACCCAATCTTTTTGAGATATGATCCAAATTGATCCAATTGGGGTACCATACTTTTGGTCATGGTATGTCATGGTCCCATGAGCCCATCGCAGTCATCGGATCCTGTGGCCAAACGCCATTGTCCCGAGGCATGAACCACATCCTTGGGAGGTCCAAAGGGACAAGTTGGACTTGGAGAAGTAGAATCAAGTTGAAGGTCTATGGAAATCTATGGAAATCTATGGAAATCTGTGGAAATCTATGGAAATCTATGGAAATCTATGGAAATCTATGGAAATCTGTGGAAATCTATGGAAATCTATGGAAATCTATGGAAATCTATGGAAATCTATAGAATATGGATCTGGATAAGCTATTGCAGAAGTCAACCGCAAAAAAAGTTCAGTCATTTTGGAATAATTACCCGAATCCTTCCCATCATTCCAGTGACATCGCAGTGAGGCATTTAAAATTTATTCATATGGGTATAATGGTGATATATCGGAGATCAATCGGGGATATGAGGGTTTTTTGATATCCTACGGCAATTTCAATGGGTACCGTGTTTTCAAACACACACTGCCATGCGGATGGATGATAACAAGTGGAATCCGGTCACTTTCAAACTAAATCCTGCATCAAAACAACGCTACGGTGATGACCCGACTTGTGCGACAATGCGAACATGCAATTTTATTCCACCAACATCACTGGGAAGCTCTTCCTCTATGGCAGCTTCAAGCCTCTTATGAAAATCCCCATGTGTTTTTCCTCCGAAATTATCCATTTTGGGTTGCCAGTTTTTGGACATTCGTCAAAGTCAAAACTTCTCAGAGTTCAAAAAGATGACACATGTCTCGGGATATAAAAACGACACATGTCCCATGTTTTTCCATGTCTTTCTTTTTGTGGCTGTTTTCTCCTCCAATTTCCGAAAAAAAATCGATCCGAGGCACTGATTGGGCCAGGCCGGCGCCTCCGATGTTGTTGGGATAGCAATGGGAATATACCATTGGACCAATGGATATCAATGAGATATATCATGTGGATGATGGGGATATTTGATTGGGATATAATTGGGATATGGGCCATGGAAATATGATGCAATTTCTATGGGAATTAAAGCCATTTATGAAATCTGATGTATGATTAATGGGCCATGGGCTTCGTCCAGCACTGAGAAACGGGGTATAACGGTATAAACCATCCATATGGGTCCAAAAAAAAAAGTGTGCAAATCCACTCGTTCATGGCACGGTGGGAACCCACCCATCCAATTTTGGAGTTACCTAGCCTTACTTACTGCAGGTAATCTGTTGTCTCAAAGGAGACCCCATTCATCAACCATTCACCAACCATTGTTGAAGCGTTCAATAACCATTCACCCTAGTAGGCCCTAGTTTACCCAGATGTTTGGATCTGAAGCCCTGCATGTTTGAAGCCGAATAAGCTCAAGAGCAGTTTCCAGGAGGTGCTGCAATAGCTCGCGCTATGGATTTTCATGATTCCAAATGTCAATCCCAACACACTTGTTAGTTTTGACTCTACCACGTTGTATCACCCTAGTTCGTGTAGGTTTATTGGCGTTCGAAGCCCCCTTCCGCTTCGCACTTGGAAGGTCATCCCACCTAGTAAAATGTTCATAACCCTGGTGATCATAAGTTCCCTAGGCAGGTTGTCCCCTTTATGACTGGGGCATGAAGCTACTTGAGCGGTGTTCAAAACTACCTCTGTCATTCCAGCGGATGATGCTCCCCAATAGATTGGAAAGTATGAACTACCTCCTCCAATCATCATCAGCAATCATTGATCAATTGTATCCCTGTATATACCCGGATTTGTTGTCCTTCAAACCAAAAAAATGACATATGCTGCTGCCCCTACAAATGATGAGGAGGATGAGGATGATCTTGATGTTGTTGATGTTGTTGTTTTGTTGTTGTTGTTGTGGTGGTGGTGGTGGTTGTTGGTTGTTGGTTGTTGGTTGTTTGTTGTTTTTGTTGTTGTTGTTGATGATGATGATGATGACGATGATGATGATGATGATGATGGTGATGGTGATGATGATGATGATGATGATGATGATGATGATGATGATGATGATGATGAACACGCCACTCACCAGCGCCTCCGGAAAGCCAGCCATGACGCCCAGGTTGGGGTCCCAATTGGGCCACGCCATCTGTCGAGTCGTTTCAGCCAGTCGACCAGAAAAAATCGGTGCATTTCATCATCCAAAAGTGGGAGTCAATCCATTTACTATATCAATCACCAATTGCGAACAGATCTGGATACAGTATATGATAATAGTTCACTAGTCTGGGATAATAGTACTATAGTGTATAATTATCATTACTATAGTCCAAAAGTGGGAGGAAAAATCGGCAAAATATCTATGGAATTTTCATGATCCAACAAGTGGGAGGAAAAACCGACCGAATCATATGGGATGAACATCCACAACCAGCCATGGACTTTTTTGACAACGCCCAGCTGCGCGAGAAAACAAGAAGAGCTATAGATATGACCAAATTTCGGTTGGATTCCCCTGGGAAACTGTGACATAGCGATGGTATGGCCCGTTGATGCATGATTCGCATCTCAAAAAGTCTGGTGTTCGTGGTTTAAAATTTGATTCTGTTGTCATGCTTTATTTGCTACTTAAATCAAGGGAACTACTTGCGGGGCTGATGGTCTATCCCGATGTTTCGTAGAGTTTCATGGTGGTTCATCTGGAACCAGTACGAATGCTGGGACAAACTGCCATGATTCGTCACCAATCATTTTGTGTTCCATCTCAAAAGGTTCATCAACACCACAAAAAATCCAGGGCACCATCTGAGTCAAAGCCCTTGTGACACAAGGGGTGTTTGTCAGAGTCCAGGGATCCGACCGGGTAGTTCTCTGGCGTCATCGGCATGTTCCTGGCTCCGCCAAGGGGTTGCCCGAAGTTGGGGAACCGCAATCCCAAGGGTGCAACCAACCAGGGCCCGGTGCTGGCATGTTTTGGATCTTTACCCTCTGGCAACCCAACTTTAAAAAGTGGAAAATGGGATTTAAATAGTGATTTAGTAGGATTTCAATCGGATCTAATGGTGAGTTGCCCAATTTCTAGATGATTATCCTATTGGTTTTGAGACAGATCTTGCACAGCACAAGAAGGTACTTGGAAAGCAGATACTGAAGTGCATCATCATCCCGTGATGACCATCAGGTGGAACCCATGCACCCTGTGGGTTCAACCATCAACGCCGGGCCATTCTGCCAGGCTCAAGTGCGAAAAAAAAAACAAACCGTTTTCGGCCAATGATTCTGCTTGGAAAAGTCAACTGAAACCGAAAGTGGTAAGCTGACTCACCTGGGTCATGTTCTTTTTTGGTGTCCACTGTGCCCACTGTGCCCACTATCCTATCTACATGGCAGCTCCGAATGGTTCATGAGCCGCCGCATGTGGCTCCCATCATGCGATCCCAACCACACTGACTTGTCACCAAGCTGCTTTCCCTGCGATGTTGGCGACATATTCGGCCCCTGCGACATCGGTTTGACTGATGAGGCTCTTTATTCAAACTCAAACTTTATGAGAGGAGTTAGTTAACGTATATGTAAATGTGATTGTAGATTGTAGATATAGTGCTTGCAAAAATATGAACATGCACAAATATGTATGCATATGTTCTTGCCGTTTACATGGAAACGCATTTACTTGTTGTACATGTACATATGTGTATGCGATTGCGAGTATGTGTCTAGGTTTATGGAACCACACATACACCATCCTGTACCGGCGTGGTGTGGTGCTTGAAGCCAGAATCCAAGAATACCTCATTGCAAAATAATGCCCTTCAACCCTCACCAGCACCCAGACTCTTCCCATTTTGTGATGGGAAAGTCAGCGATTTCCCCTTTCATTTGAGATAACACCATGTTTTAAGATGGAAATTATCTTAATTTATCATGGAAAAATAATCTCATGGACCATACTATATAAATAAACGTTGCATATCTGCGGTCGTACATGGCCTATTATCCATATATATACAATCACACGAATCAAAATACCACAAACAAAACAAATGCAAATAAATCCCATATATATATACATACATACATATATATATATATGTGTGTACATATACATATGTGCAAAAAATATCAAAAAATAATATACCATCATCAATTATATATTTTACTCATACAATTATACAATGTACTTCGAATGATTTTACTCATACAATATCATATACATCAAATGATTAAAGTATTATTATGTAGTGTTATACAGATTATACACCAATCAACCAGTCAACCGCTCGGTCGCGGCTCGCCTGGCGATCACTGGGCGTTGCGACGGGCGGTGTCGGAGGCAGCATGAAGTCCTCACACTCCTCAGCGTCCGGCGGATGTGAAAAGATGGTGGTTGGACACTAGAAAAACCATAGAAAATGGATGCAAAACGATAAATTTCAATAGAAAATCATGGTGGCTAACCATCTTTTTATAGTGTTTGGATGGTTAAAAGCTAGTGAAACGGTTTAACCATCAAAAATGGGTCACTAATCACAGAAAAGGTCAAGTCATTGCAGTACCAATGGACATATGGACATATGATCAATAGGAAAATTAGGAAACTCTAACCTGGGCACCTGCTGAGTAGTCGGATGCGCTCGACTTGGCAATTTTGACCCAGACCCTCCGAGCGAATCAACAGGCTCTCAGGGAACATCCCTGCGTGCCACTTTGGGAATCATCGCGGACCGCAGGACTCATATTGTTTTTCCATGACCCTGGTAATTCGAAGTCCCATTTCCTGTTGTTTTTTTCCAATTACAACAGGGAAATTGAGCAATATCAAAGTGGGCGTCACCAGCCTGAAATCGTGGCATCAACTCTCAGTCAGATACTGCATGTTCAGAAACCTTCGCTAAGCCCATGCCTGCGCACGGCAGACATACTCGACATAATTAATATTTGTGGACATAAATTTGACTTGAAACCTACAGATTGACTACCTGTAATATTGCTGAATGCACTATACGTGATATTTGTTGAATATGATATCGTGTCCTTTTTTCAGTGACTGGCTGATCAAATCGGTATTACTGGTTGGAGAATGCCGTTGCCTTGTTCGGAAAAGTTACCAGTCTCCTTGGGTTATCCACAAGTTGTATCCTTGTTCTTCTTGCTCGTATTGCTCGTGTACCCATTTTTGGCTCTATGACTCTATGCTCATCGCCGTTCCTATTCTCATGATAGCGTGATTCTATACCTACCATCATTGCTTGTATTTTTCAAGATGACAACTGGTGCATTCGTGATGATGTCCACCCCATCTTCACTTCTCGGTGTGCATGACCCACATTGGTTTGTACGCTTGGATACTCCTGTTTGTGGTGGAAGTATGTTGTCGTGGGTCTCTGCAGGTACCCTGGCAAATGTCCGAAAATGAACATAGGGGCCGAAATCTTCACTCAATGTTCCAAGGTACCAATTTAGAACATTCGGATATTCCTATGTTCACAGGGGCCCTGAAATCTTCATCCTCATTCCTTGTTCCAAGTTTCTTCCTTCTACGGTAGGTTCCCCATTGGAGAGACCTGGTGCCCTTCATGCATCAGACTCCCGCCCAGCCTGCTGGGCCCAACAAAGGCGTATTGCTTTGACTGCGGCGGCCGGGCCTCCTCGGGTGGCGACCGCAGAGCGGAGCTGCATTACGGGGACCTTTCGAGGGAATTTTGGTGTGTGTATGTATGTATGTATGTATGTATGTATGTATGTATGTATGTATGTATGTATGTATGTATGTATGTATGTATGTATGTAGGGATTTTGCCAAACTAAGAATGAATTTGGGTATGTCTGAAAATGGGATACGGTATAACGGTATACCCATAAATGGATATAAACGGCATGATTGGTGAAATTGATGACAAACCGGTGGATTTAGGGATCGGCAATTTTCCGACAAACTCCTATGGAGATGTAGATCTGATGTATTATACATACAGATTGCCCTCGCCGCCAAACAGGGTTCCGGGCTGTACATGTAAGGCTGGCGACCTGACAAAGGTGCCACAGCATGCCAAAGTTGAATGTCCGCGAATTAATGGTTTATGGTTGACCTGTTTTTGGCTAGTAGTATCCACGGTCAATGTTTTGATTCACGCCCCGTGTTTCTCAATGGAATCCCTCGGCCTGTTCAATCTCTTTGTCAACACAAACTGATGTGCCGAAATCCTGTTCTTTATCAAATCCCCGTGTGTTTTTGAGCGAAATCCCCACGTTGTCTTGCTGAATTTTCCTTTTGTTGCAGCTTGTTCCCCATTTTCCCTGGTGGAATGCTAACTGTCCATTGCCGAATGCTCAATGTCTCCTATTGGAATCACAACCGCCCTAGTAAAACACGTTTTCCGAGTAAAACCCAAATTCTTCCCAACGAAAACACCAAAGTTTGCAGATTAGAGGTAAAACTCCTAATTCGCTCCAACATTTTCCCACCAAATCACCCATTTGTTCCGGGTCACTTCACATTTTTCGGGCTGAAAAACAGACCGCCTCTCCCCACAGCACCTCATGGGCCAAAGCATGGGGGATGCCGCCTCATCGTCCGACAACGAGGCCCACCTGGCGAAGATCGAGATGGTTTCTCGGGGATCTCCAGGAGTGAAAACTAGTGAAACCTGAGAGGGATGGCACGAAAGCCATGGAGGGTTGCATGTGTGGAACTTTAACCGCGTCTGCTCCATACAGTTGCTCCACCACCCTCACCAGCTCCTCTAGCCAACACACCTCCTTAAGCGCTTTATCCATCACAAGCTTCACCCAAATCCAACAATGCCCAAGGATAAGATCCATTTAAAAAAAGAAAAAATCAAGCATGACGTGCCCCAAAATCTGTTGAGTTTCAACAATAATCTACTAGTAAACGACCTTATAGCGGGTCCATCTAATAAATAAAACCGTTCTGTATCTATACCTCGTGACAATCGCAAGTGACATGTGAATTGAAATGCCATCCATCCCAACCCCAACAGCTCTTTTGTCAGAGTGGTCGGAAGTTTGCATCAGCCTGGCTGCAACCTTTCAGGCATCCAATGCAGCACCTTCCAAAAGTCATGGCCATAGTCTGCCTTCTCCACCTCCTTGCCGTGCGCAGACGGTAGTTTGCCAAATAATAATGCCAGCCGCAAACGGTCTTCCAAGCGGCCGATGCAGAAAATACCAGAGTTTTACAATTCTTGTGTACCACTTGATGTCGACTCGAGCGCACTTGTGGCGGTAGATACTTCGATGAGCAGTCCATCATGCCCTCGATGTTCTTTGTGGCGTCCGCCAGCGCATTGTTCGCTCCTTGAGAATCGACCTTGAGCGCATCCAGCTCTTCCCGCAACGCTCCTGAACGTCTCGTGGAATGGCCGGTGACTTCTTTGCCATAAAGTTTCCTCCAATCTCCCACGATTTCTGCTTTGGATGCTCCCGAACCTCCTTCACGGAAGGCTAGATGTCCATCCTTCGCATCCTTCAGCGTCGCATTGTTCACCAGCATTCCCAACACCGTGCAGGGGCAGCGCAAATCGCATCCTTCGTCACAAATGCACTGCAGGGTCCTCGATATGCCCCTGCCCTCCGAGTCCATTTTGGAATGCTGCCATGCAATGGTGACCAGGCGATTGGTGGCATCGAACTTTATGTTGGAGGATTCAGGTCCGCCAGTTCTATCTCCCTCATCATCCAGTGCACGCCACACGCGAACAGGTGAGCTGGCAAGAGCACTTTGTAGCCCTCGCGCGGAGAGGTTTGTAGCAGTCGGTGGTCAGCCCAATCTGCTTCTGCAACCTCCACTGCCTTCTTTCTCGGCCCTGTGCCTCTCTTTGCGGCCGCCATGCAAAGTTTGTAGTTCCTCTCCACCTGCGTCCATGGATGACCCTTCTCCACGTGCACGGTCTTCGCCTCTGCCAGATAGATGTATGACGATTTATACCCCAATTCTTTGATGGTGCCCACCAAGAATTCCAATGACAGTGGGGTCAAAGGCAGCGGATGGTTCCCCGCATTCAAGATGTTCTCCACCGTCTTCCGCCTGGACATCTTTGCTGCCCGGGAAGAGTTGGCGTAAATTTTCTTCTACACTTTGTTGACCAGGGCTCCCGCGTTCTTTTTGGCCTTGGCTAGGCGGACTGTGCTCCGCAAGCTTGGTTTTCCGATGTTGTGGATCGATTGTTTCTTTGGCAGATCTCTCCTGTGCTATTTTTCGTTTCTGGAGTCCCAGCGCTCTCGACGCTTACGCACCTTCTTGTCGACAACATATACTGTTTCTCCGGCTCAGCTCCAAAGCCTTCATCCGAAAGTGGCGGCAATGTCAGATCTGGCATGTTGGGGTTCAGGATTCTTTGACCCCAGCTTCTTAACCTGAGCTTCTTGACCGGTGAAGCCAGCAGCTCCTTCCACCATGGCCCTTTCGGAGGGAAGGCGGGAACTTGTGTTTAGTCCCCCGAGGTGATGGTTCCTGATCGGGTACGGATACTGGTGACCCGGGGGCTTCTGCCTCTGAGGTCTCCTTTGGTGACAGCACCTTTGGTGACAGCGTTGCCATCGGGCCGAACAAATTCGACATGCCGTAGTTTTGCACCCCTCTTCTCTTCTCTCTCTTTTAGTCCAGCATCAGGCAGCAATCTCTCCCTGCTAGGTGATGTCGCCGCCCTATCTCCTCTCTCCTGGTAACCACCGGTGATGTTTGCTCCGGATCTGGCCTCCTCGATATGAAGGTCGCCAAGTCCACTCCTTCCTTGGGGTACATCGACCATGGCAGGATCGTAGCTGTTCCGTGGTGGCCTTTTGAGCAGGCGGATGAGGTGCCGGCTTGGGTCTGCCGCGGCTTGGCCATAGGTCGGCGTTTGGAACAACAGTTGCAGCAGCCCATCATGCCGAGGAAGAAGAGGAACAGCAGAGTGCCCCAATGCGTCCATTCACCAATAGGACAGCGCCCGCCACCGCCAAGAAGCTAACCAACCAGGCTCTGGCCTGCCCAAGTTGTTTTACAACGAAGAGGCCGTCTTTGTTCCGGGCGTCATCACAACTTTCGCGCCTGGTTTCTTCTTGGCCTGAGGCGATGGCGTTCAGGCGCTCACTGTCCATGGTGCCCTTGGTAAAATCCGAGACAGCCAGCTGAGCTTTCCTGCCGCTTGTCGTAACTCCCTGAGAGGAGCCATGCCTTTGTTGGCCCAGGAGGCTAGGAGCTCCAGGAGGTCTTTCACGAACTGGTCTGGTAGGCCTAAGATGATGGAGTCTTCCGCGATGGTGAATCTGACTCCTACCCGTTGCACCTGCGTTGATCTCAGGCCCTTTTTGAGCGAGACTTTAAAGCCAAGCACGCCCATCAATGCCAGAATCAAAGCCAGCATGGAGTTGCACTCTTTGAGCGTCCCTTGCAACACCCACAGCCCATCGTCCAAGTATACTTGGTGTTGCGCTTCTCCTCCTTGAAACATCGCTTGCTAAGCATGCTGCCAATCTTGACCATAGCAGGGGGGCCGTCTTGTAGCCGAAGAGGAGGGCGCAGAACAGAATGAAGTCGTCAGGTTGAACTTCAGGTGCAAGCGTGTGAGGAAGCTCGCATTCCCTCACTGCCAACGACATGAAGGCATCGCTATGTCAATGACGACGAGCGCCCACGCATCGTGGCTCCGTCGCTGGTTGTATAGTTGTCGCGCACCATCGACACTGCGTCCTTGGGGCGTGGCAGCACCACTTTTTCCGAAGCTGTGCTTTCCTGTTTCCTCCCGACCTTCTAAGGTCGAGGATTATTCTTCGTTTTATGCCTTCCGGTTTTTGTTTGATGATGAAGCCTAACCAACTTATTGTGCTGTATCCCATCTCTTCTTGGACCACTTTCTTGGATTTTCTTGGGGAGGTCGACGAGGTAACCTTCTTGCCGGTATCGATCTAGTTCAATCTTGGCGTCCTCGACTTTGTCAGTGACTGGGGTGTAGTTTGTCACCTCGCCCCTGCTCAGTTGAGCTGCTGCATCTTCGAGTTCCCTGCCCGAGTGGGAGTCCATGTTGGCTTGATTGTCGTACCTTGGGAATATGCCCCTTTTGGGGATTTCTGCTTCTATGCCCAGAGGCGCCCCGTTTCTGATCCAGTCTGGTAGGACGTCATCTGGATCACTTGCTTTCGCGATGAACGCCTCGAAGAGCTCTGGGTCCAGGGGCGCTACATATTTTCACCTCGGCCGCATCTTGACGCTGGGCGGTGCTTTGGCCCCGAGGGTCTTCTTCATCGATGTTTTCCATAGCTGCACAACGTCCTTGTCGAGTGTGCAGTCCGGGGTCCCGTAAGTCTCTGCTACTTTCACTGCCCCCGGGTGCCTCTTTTCAAATGCTTCCCAAGCCGCTCTCAACCTGATGCCCAGCGAGAGTGCTGTGGATCCACTTTGTAAGGATCCCTGATGCCGCCCACATATTCTGACAGAGCTGGATCGGCTGAGCGGGCTCCTGACCTCTTGAGCATGTCGTACTTGTCGCCACCTTGCCATTCAAGATCAAACCGTTTCCTCAGGTCAGCTGCGGGCTTCAAGGACACCCTGTGTTCTTTGCGAAGGGTGTCTGGTGTTTTTCGGCCTCTTCCGTCTCCTCTGCAATGGGGTTCGGTTTAGCCCTGTGCGCTTTGCTGGGCTCCTTGGTTTGTTGTCCACCGTCGCTGCTTTGTATTCCCTCCTGGTAGGTGGGCTCATCGACGGCACTCGCAAAGACCTTCGACTGGATCTGGGCCAAAAGCTTCCTCCATGTAGATGATCTTGGCCTTCGACGCGTCGATGGTGTCCTGCAGAGAGGTCATTCTGGACGTGAGGAAGTCCTACTTGCCCATGAGCTTCAACTGGGCGATCGCCAGCTTGGTGTACTCCCTGCATAGTTCCGTAGGATACGTTGCCGAAGCTTTTGACTTCTCCGAGCCCACAATGGTTTCGTGGCTGCCTGGGTAGCCGCACTGGCACCTGGCACTTCCTTTTCAACGTGCCAAGGCCGTGTAGCGACCCCGCAAACATCTGCGGCTTGTAGTGTTTCTTGCCCACTGGGATCTTGCTCTCATAGCCGCACGTGTTGAACTCAACTTCATAGTGCGGGGAGGTGTTCCTGAATTTCTCCATCTCCCCCAGCTCCCAGGCCGAAAGGTGCCCTCTGGTGTCGCTAGGCGGCGGGTTCTCTAAGGTGGCAACTGGCGGCACCTTCGTGATCTGTTGTTTTGTGGTGACGGTGGTGGCCATGATTGCCCTGCATGCCATTACGGTGCCTCGGTCACATTCGGCTTGTTCCGCCGCACTGTTGGCCTTCATGCCGTAGGGCTCCGTTTCCGACCTAACCGGACCAGGCTGGTTTGGGGCCTTCCTCCACCTAAGTCTTGAAAATGTGGAACATGGGAAACCTGCATGGTATGGTATGCATCCACGTAGCCCCTTCTAGCCCACCTCAAATGCTTTGAGTACGGTTCGTCTTCCAGGAGGTCGCCTGAATCGTTGGATATCTCCACGCTGATGGCCTGCAAACGGATGCCCTGAGCTAGTGCTTCTTTTCTCATCGCTGTTGTCAGTGGATCCTCCGGGCCTGCAAAGTGATGGATGAAAATGAAGACCCTCTTCGTGTAAAACTCCTCGAGGGTTTCAGCTTGCAGCGGAATTTCTTCTTCCGGCTCTTCATTACCTTCGTCACCTTCTTGTTCTCCATCTTCGGATTCATAGGGTATGATGGCGACGAGGCTTTGTCATCTTTGTTTTCCACTTTCGTTGAACCCTCGGTTTTGGCTCCTTCTCCATCTGGGACAGATCTCAATCCTTCTTCGGGCATTTCCGACTTGGATGCACCGGCGAATCGCACTTCGTGCACCGGTGAAGGCGTTTCACCTTGGCTACGCACTGTTGCCCCGGTGCAAGCTCCCCACAGGGGGAGTTTCCATTGCTCCATGAGAAGCACTTTTGACCTGTGCTTCCTTTCCCTCCGCCTTTCTTTCCTCCTGTCCCCTGCTTTGTATACTTTTGGCTTTCTCCATCGTCTCCACTTCCCTTCCCCCCATATCTCCTTTTCTTCCTGCGATTGTTGGGGTTGGGGCCTTCGTGCCGTTGTCGGATTCCAGGACAGGAGAAATCGCGGATAGCCCCCCTTGCAAGGAGCTGAAGCTAACTGCTCCGCCGGAGTCTTCTGTGTACCATGACTTCTGCGTTCTGGTCGAAACCTTCTGGTGGGGCTTTTCCGGTGCGAATGTCCATCATGATTTTTGAGCGCGGTCTGTTGGATTGGGAAGACCTGGCAACAAGTGCCAAGCCGTCGGGTAAGTCCGTGACAGTCTCTCCACAGCCATCTGGTACCCGTGCAAGGCCGCCAATCTTGCTGCGTCCAGCATTATGAGGGAGGTTCGAAGAAGCCTGAAGCACGTCCTCCACTGAGTGAGTGTAGCTGGACCAGGTAGCTCCTTCGTTGCGTAGTGTCCTGAGTGAAGATCCTCCGATGCAATGCACTGAGCTGCTCCAACGTTGGATCCTCCTCCTCCTCCGGGGGTAGCCCACCAACCGTAGCCAAATACTGCTGGTGCCACGCCGCTCTTGCATCTTCTCCTTGAACCACAAATTCTCCATCGTCTCCTTGATCCAAAATCTGTGTCATTTTCATCTTGCGTTCTGAGCTCGATGGACTCGGTGCAGCCTTCGCCACGGCCTGGTTCTCCATGGTTTAAGGTCCACATGGTGAAGACTCTCGCCAGGAATTCCAGTATCCTTCTCCCTTGGTGTGCTGCACTCGTTTTGCTAAGTTGTAAATCAATCCCACATGGGAGGCTTGTACCGCTGATAATGGGCTGCCATCTTGTAGTACTGCTCTTTCTAGGGCAGCCGATACCACGTGTGAAGGGAGCACTGCCAATAACCTGGGGTCGTCTCCGGGGTCTCCAGCTATAGCCACGAATGCTTGCCATAGGGCATCTGGAAGACCATAGTGCTCCTTCATCTCTCGAATCGAAGCCATCTGCAGAGCTGCAGCTTGACTTGGGTACATTGCTGACCGCACACCAAAGCAACAGCAAAAGAAAGAACGTCATGTTGCTGGTGGCAGGTCAGCTTGAGCCAAAATGGCCGGACCATGCCACCAGCTCTTTGTCATGCAGAAAAGCTTGCAGCTTTTCTTTTACAAATTAAAAAATTGTCAATTTGTGGCCCATCTTCAGTGCCAAGCCCACCGGACCATATCAGTCGTTGGGGTTCGTCGAGTGGCAAAACCAGCTATCATGTAGCACACGACTTTAGCGAGTCCTTTGGTTCCTTCTCTGCCTGAAGCTTCCAGAAAGCACGTCTGCTCCATACATGACATTACTCCACCCCCCTGGCAGCTCCTCTAGCCAACACACCTCCTTAAGCGCTTTATCCATCACAAGCTTCACCCAAATCCAACAAGACCCAAGGATAAGATCCATCAAAAATTCAAGCGTGACGTGCCCCAAAACCTGTTGAACTTCAACAACCTACTAGCCTTAGCGGGTCCATCTAATACCTAAAACCTTTCCTCACAATATAAAAGAATGTCAATTTGTGGTTTATCCATCTTCAGTGCCAAGCCCAACGGACCATATCAGCCGTTGGGGTTCATCTAGTAGCAAACCCTTACTGCTCAGCCTCACAGTTTGCGGACCAGGGCATCAATGAGTCAATGCTGGGTAGATAGTGAAGATGGGTAGCGATCAATGAATGGTACATTTGTTAGTCGGAAATCCTGCTGGAGAGACTCAGACTGGATGGTGATCTCTAGAAAAACGAATCCTGGTATCGACATTTTTTGGGCGACACCAACCTGTTGTTCTGTAAACTTTTTTGGTCGTCACAGCTATACTACCACTTTTTGTTTGGTGGTCTCTGCATATTCATGGATGGATTGAAAGATATGTCTACCCTTTGCCGCTGAATCGGTTGCCGTTTCTATGGCCTACAGTAAGTCATTGTTTTTTGTTAAATATGTATTTTCATTGGTTCAATTGAATTCATATATTTAGGGCACATCTGCATCTTAACTGGTCAAATCTACTTTTTTGTCCATGAAATGGAAATCCGTTCAAAATCCAACTCTCCAGTTTTATAGATTCCCGATGTTCACTCCTTGAAATCTCCAGCATCCCAAAATGTTCACTTCTTTCGGAATCATCAAATTCCTCGAAGAAAACATGGTTTTCACTGTTGACGAAAGCCAACCGACAGGCAAGGCTTAGTTGTTGGTTGCGAACGCAGTGAGTTTGGGCGTCAAAATGATGTGGAAAATTAGGAATATGGAAGGCCTTTTCCAGGTATGCCAGATCGCAATTTGCTGATGGTGCTTCGATTCCTCTGGGATTTCACGAAAAATGATCTCCTATTTTTTTCAGAGATAAGCCCTCCAATTTTTTCTGGGGCGCCATTTTTGTTCGGTTCCTACCTCCTGCGAGCCCCAGGACCGTAGGTATCCGCGGCCTTTGAACAGCACGGTGGGAACTATTAATATATGTTGTGGTAACTGTGTTACTGAATGTTGCGAACTATTAGATACTGTAACCCTACTGTAATACAGATATATATATATAACAAAGAAAACTTATCTATGTGTATGTATATATATACACAATGTAAGGCCCGTGTCAAGCAAACATACGAACAATTGCAACCGTCATCCAAAAAAATGCAGCTCATGTGTACGATGTATGTATGTAATAGGTATATGTCCATGTGTATATCTCAGTGTATGCACGTATGTGCGTATGTATGTTTGTATGTATATATATATATATTATACATATATGATATGATATGGTATGGTATGCTATGATATGATATGATATATGATATATAATATGACATATGATATATGATATATAATATATGATATATGATATATGATATATGATATATTATATATTATATATTATATGATATATTATATCTTATATCTTACATATTATATATTACGTATTATATATTACATATTATATATTACATATTATATATTATATAGTATATTAATTATATATTATATATGATATATATGATATGATATGATATGATATGATATGGTATGATATGATATTATATGATGTGATATGTGTGTCTGTGATTGTGTGTGTGTGTTTCAGCGTCTGTATGTCGCGTAGCGCAGTGTAGTATCCTGTAGTGTATTATAATGTAGTGTATGTCCGTGTGTGTGTGTCAGTGTATGTATGTCAGTGTATGTAGGTAAGTACGTACGTACGCATATATTATGTACGTACATATGTGCGTAAGTATGTACGCACGATCTGTTCCATGGTACCAATGTGTGCTAATCACTGCTAGTCCCCAATCGATCCTAGTGGAATTCCACAAGAATGAGTGCATAAACAACCAAAAATATCCTCTAGGGAAAATAGAAGGGTCAGTTTGGTATGATGATTTACCTTGTAGATGTTCAATTGGGATACCCCCTGAAACGAACGAGCCGTGGGGCCCATCGTGCGCTTACCTAATGGATAGTGGATATTCATTGGGGGGCCCTTCAGAGGGGTGCACTATCAGGACGAGATAGGACGAGGTGCACCCTGAAACCACAACGTGACATTTCCCAAGGAAGGAAAGAAAGGTTAATGACTGCTTTGAGTGTTTCAAACATCCGACTAGCCGCCTTTTCAGTGAAGGTATGGAAATCATGACAAGTCATCACAAGTCTACAAAAATGTCATCCCTTAGACTTGGACTTTGGAGCAAGACCCCAAAACTGTCATGTCGCCCTGTCGAATCCCTAGCATGATCTGCGAAGCCCAGAATGATCTGGGAATCCATGGACCATCAATGGCTGACCAAAACTGGGAACTTCCATCCACACCTTAAATGTTTATGGCAGGGTTGACCCGGTTGACCCGGTTGACCCATTCTTCCAGGTTGAATCCGATTTGTTGCCAATGTTTCCAGTTTCAATCCCAAAGTGTCCTTACATCATCCATTGTTTTTTCCGTGGATGTTCCAATGTGTCCAGGGTCGAGGTCCAGGTTCCCCCAACATCGCGCCCCACACGCCAGGTGGGCGCCAGGGTGGGGGACATCCCCGGCGACGGATAGGCCGCCAAATCCACCGGATGCATCTGGCGGATGGTGCTCCATAAGTTTTGGCCCCTATCATAAAGCTAAGATGGTGATTCTATGGTGATTGAACCAAACCAACAAGCTTAAAAATTGGGTTTTCACCCACAAAAACGTGGAACTTTGGGATTTGAGTAACAAGAATGCCTTTCACCATCCAAGGCAAATTCGGAACCCAAAAAACGGAGGATTTATCCAATAAAAACGTGAGATGGAAGCTACCAACGTGTTCATAGTGATGTACCCCCTCCGGCAATCTGGCAGGCTAACATCCTGTTTCATGCCAATATCATTGGATTATTGGGGTATAGACGGTATAGAGTTCAAAATTTTGGTACTGAATGGACCTAAATAATCAGGATTGACATTGGTTTTTCATCTAGGATCCTCCAATTCTGCTGTCAGCACTTTTTGGACTTGGGAATGGGTGAAGCTGGCTGGGTTGTTTATTCTGTTCCTATCCCAAAACTGTGGCCGGAACAGAAAATAGTATGCCCCCAAAGTGATACATCAATATATTTTTTTTAAAAAAACGCCTTATTTTACAATACAAGAGGTTTTGGTTCATCCTGGCTTCACAGCAACATTCGTCGAGGGATCCTGTTGCCAGTGGGCCTCCTTTGAAGACCGACGAATGCCTGTCATCATCTCCTACGCTTCAAGTTGCGACTTGCGTGTTCCGTGTGCTTCGCGATGGGTCAAAGTCGATGTTAAGCCTAGACAAATCACCCCCTGGGTCCTGATATTTCATTGCCCCAAAATGTTTTTGCACAGTTACGGTTTAGTTTTGGCCCCAAAATCAACATCTTTGGTGCAATCCAATCTTGAGTGACATCGCCAGATTTGATGGTGAATTCACTATGTTTCATGATTCAACCAAACATATTCAAAAAAGAAGAATGAACACATTTTTGTCACATTCAAGAATTCCCATATATCTCATATGGGTCTGAAAATAGCGCACCCCATTCCGTCATATTCCATCCCATGCTCAATCACAATCTTCCCTAGTAAAGTGGCCATATATTGGCGGTGCATCGATTTCCAGACACTCCCAGACCTGACCCGTCCTCCTCGGTCATTGAGGCCCAACGTCGTCGACCCACCAGACCTAGAAGTTGTCATTTAACACATCGCACACCTTTGTGGAATTTACCACAGCGTTTTGGGTGGTTAGTAACTAACCATAGCAAAAATTCGAAGTCTCCATGTTTCACGAGAAAAACATCTGCAAATGGATGTCAATGATGTCAAGTGTACGATGTTTCAGGTGGATTTTCTAGCAATTTCCTCTTGATTTTGGGAATGCAAAGGAGACCTTCTTTTTCCACCGTGGTACATTCAACTCTCAGCCCATCCCGCCGGGCACCTTCCGGCAACTCCTAGGAGTTGTGGCAACACTTTGAGGCTTAACATAAATATCAATAGCTGATATATTGATAGATACTGTAATTAGTGATAGATAGCATATCAAACTATTCATATTACTATCTATCACTATCTGTAATGTTTTACCATTGAATATGAATTACTGATGATGGCACTATCATCACTATTATTACATATTACTGATATTACCATTGAAGTGAATGTTTTCCAAACAAACTGTCTCCGGTCTCCATCTCGGTCCTCCGGTACCAAGAAGGGTGAATGCATCGTCCTCGAAGGTCGGCGAAAAATGGCAGGTCAACAGCTAGTTTAAAGGGATTTAAGCACAGAATAAGCACAGAAGTGGAGATTTCAAGTTATTTCAACGGTGTACTTCGGAAAAATGAGTGAAACTCTGAAAACCAGGATTTCAGACCTGAAAATGTTCTGTTTGGTCGCGTTTATCATCTCACTGCAAAATGGTAAAGAAACATTTGAGAGGAAACAAAACCATGTTCAATAATGTTCAAAAGTTCTGGTTTGCCGTCTTTTAACGGGTTTACATTCTTTTACATGCCTCAGATTGTTTGTGGCTCACGTTGAATCAATCGACTTTCTGCAGCACAGGGCCAGTTCCAGATGTGTCAGGTGTTTCGTGACCTTTCTGTGCTTGTCATTGTAACCCGGACCAGAGATCGTGCAGCAAACCCAAAAATAAGACATGTTCAATATCACCATACGTGGTTGGTACAAACCATTCTCAAACGGTCGCTTCTTTGTGTTTGTGTACCAACCACTCAAGGTTCGGCTCAAATTAAACCTTGATGCTCCGATCTCTTAACTCCAGGATAGGCATAGAAAAATATCGATATGTACGCAAGCAAACCTTTCGAAGTCGATATGTGTATCAATACGTGTATGTTGGTGTGTACATGTATGCAAATCAATACTATATATTATATTATATATATATACACTGGTGTGCAATCCAAAAAAAATGGAAAAGTAAAAGTCTTACTCAAAAACATCGTAGGAAAATGACTTGTCTATCCGGAGGTGATGTACATTGGACAAGACATGGACCTCGGAGAGCAGATCGCGCCTATTTGACAAGGCGGGCGAGAAGTTCAAGGTCTTGCAGCCAGAAAATGGGAGGTAGTCTCTCCAGAAAATGGGGAAAACATGGGCCGTTAGGGTCAAAATCCTGGTAGCCTACCCTAAGTCATAGCTGGATGATGCTGGATGGTGATGGGACCCTATATGGTAATATGCAATATGATCGAGACATGGAGAACCCAATTTTGGATATAATAGGGATGACTTTTTAGTTGATGTGCATCCCAGAAAAGTCGTACTTTTCACCGTATGAAATATCTCAGTTCTGTGATTGGAATATCACCAGTGAGCTTGATGGCTTATAAGACCATTTATTGGAATTGCACACGCAGGTAGTGTCCAAAAATGTAGAAAAATATGGGCCTGGGCAAAAAAAGGATTATCAACCAGCAAACTGAAGAACCATCAACCATGGTTTTGGCCAAACAAGGGGATGCCCCAGCAAAATGCTGCGCATCGTTTTGTGTGGAACCATGATGAAACACTGCGATTTTGGCACATATTGGCAGAAATAATTCGCAATCCCAAGAAACCACCGATAAAACCAGGGGAACTCCATGGCATTTCATGTGAACGACAGCCTACTACCATGTCACAAAGTACAACTTCCCTGAAACCACAATCCAGGCAATGCCCTAAATCTACTCTGAAGAGGCATCTGACTAGTGCAACCATTCACCTTCCCCTCAGGCCACCATCGTTTCCAGTGCTAGTTGGTGGAGATCCCTGTTGGTTCAAGTTCCGATCTCGATTGGTAAAATCCGCATCTTTGCTGGATAAGCTAAGATATTCCCTGCAAAAAGAAGTCTTCCCCCAGGAGAAGAGTATGTTTCTCCATCGAATTTGCAAAAGGACATGATCTATCCTAGAAGTTGGTTGAGCTGCCCATTTCGTAGGGAAGATGGATACCCTCAGCTACTGAGTTCCCTCCAAACCAACAGATAGTATCAAAACATACTCTTGAGGTTTGAGGTTGCACATATATATATATTGCATATATCCGGTTATATCCCTATCATTTCGCCATTTTGCCCAGCTGGTCCCCGTTCTCTCCTCCGGCTTTGCGGCTTTGGCAGCTTTCTGCACCTTCCATGGCACTGTTTTGGGAAGTTTCTTACAGAGAGAAGCAGCAACAAAATGAGGGACATGACCAGGCTCAAAATTTGACCTGACCATCCCGTGCTTTGAGAAAGAATCTGAGGCTGACCGTACCCCTTCTGCTGATGTTCTTTCTGAAAGTGATTTTTCTTCTCCAAATCATTTACTAAACTTTGCTGGAGTATGGGTCCAAAAAAGGATAATTACTTTGGTGAACATCAAAAAATATGTTGAAAAGAATGGACTTTGGGGCGACAGTTCGTTTTGGTCCCCACACCTTCATTATTTGTGTTGCTGGCCACTTCGATGGATTTATACCGGCTTTGATGATTGGTGCTGGTCTTCCCATATTGATGCATGAAATCCCCATCGTTCACGGTGCAACCCCATTAAGAATGGGGGGTGGAATGCCCATTTTCACTGGTTAAATGTATCTTCACGGGTGAAACCAAAAAAAGGAAATGAATGCAGTCCCTATTTTTGCTGGGTGAAATGAGTATGGGACCAACCCAAGGTACCATCTTATCGTATTTCACACCAAAATGGTAAGTGTTTATGAATGTTCATCCTCCCCACCCAATGGTCTATAGATAGTGAAAAATTCCTAGTTTATCGGATGATGAAAACCCACTGTTTCCATACAGTAGTCAAAATCCATTTTGTCATGGTCGCCCGATCTTTGATGGTTTGAAAATACAGTAAAATCTCCGTGTTTTGGTGGGTGAAATCCCTTGCTTAACAAAATGATGGTTCGGTCCAAATTCTTTGGGCGAACTCTACGTTCTTTAGTAGTGGTGTTTGAAATTACGTATAACAAAATTATTGGGGTATCCCCTACTATATTCATCACACCATGTTTGTTAAGTATTCGATAATTGTCCCTGTTGGCTTTACAACACCGTCGCAATCAGATTTTCCTATTAAACTGGTTTTATTTCTGTGTCCACCACATTTATGGTAAGTCGACAAATATCTGAACCAGCCACCGGTAATTATTCTGCTGATTTTATGTATATGTATATATTCTGGTTATATCGCCATAATATCCCCATGATATCCCTATGAAATGCATGTCTTGTTGTAGCCAATAAAATTGTTGGTGATCATTACCATACTAGACCATGCTAAACCTTTTTACTTTGATGGTGGCATCCTTTTGTTCGTTGGTGTAATCCCATAATTATATGCCCAGTTTTCACGAACCAATTTTTGATGGTTGTACAGTTGTACAATCAAATTTTCCCGCCTATCCCATGCTTGCTGGTTCATCCCCAGGTAATTTCCCATTCTTGTGCTAACATTACATGTTTTTATCCCGAAAATGTGTCTTCATCTCCATAAATACCATCATTGAGGTATCCCCTACTAGAAGGTTGTGTCTGAAAATGAGGTATAACCCCCAAATGACAATTTTAAAAACAAAAAATGATAATAGACGATCACATTTTGGTATTTTCAATCACACATATATAGAAAAATGATTCAGTTTTTCCTGTTGAAGAAATTATTTTTGACATATAAAGGGTGCCTCCCTGGGCCCCAGCACCGCGGCAACCAAGGCCGCCGAGGGCGCGGCTGAGGAGCTAGTGCCTAAGGCGAAGCGTCAAAAATGTGAATTGATGGGGTGGAAACCAAAGATGCAGATTCATGATGTTTATAAACAAGAAACAGTGTGTATATATATATATATATGATTTATATGATATTGAACTACTGGAACCCTAAAAGTTGGGTCTGGAACATTATTTTCCGCTTTTCGATATGGCCATCTTGGGGTTCCATGGTGTAGGAAAAAAAATGGTTTCACTGTTTCACCCTAAGAGTTGGCAATTGTCCAAGTAACATTTTGGGGATGTATACCAAGAGAATTGGGGATTCAAGCGACAAAAAATGTGGAAGTGTGAGCCATCCCAACATGGGCTTTGACGTCAAAGCCATAGTTGGAACTTCACCATCCCAACATGGGGATTTCGCCAAGAATGATAGGAGTGCAACTTGAGATATCGGATTTGACCAAAGGCCGCATACGTATATATATATATGTATATATATATATGTATGTATGTATGTCTGTCTGTCTGTCTGTCTGTCTGCCCGTCTGTACGTATGTCTGTCTGTTTGTATGTATGTATGTCTGTCTGTCTGTCTGTCTGTCCGTCTGTACGTATGTCTGTCTGTTTGTATGTATGTATGTCTGTCTGTCTGTCTGTCTGTCCGTCTGTACGTATGTCTGTCTGTTTGTATGTATGTATGTCTGTCTGTATGTATGTCTGTCTGTATGTCTGTCTGTCTGTATGTCTGTCTGTCTGTATGTATGTCTGTCTGTCTGTATGTATGTTTGTATGTATGTATATACATATATATATATGTATGTATATGTACATATATATATATGTATGTGTATATGTATGTATATATATATACATACATAAATATATATATATATATATGTGGCCAGCGCCAGCATTGGTTTGGCTTCTTCCCACTCTGCGTAACTAGTGGCCCAGGGGAAAAAATGGAAAGTCTACTGCCATAATCGCAGGCAGCAACAAGCCTAAGTTTCTTTGCTATCCGGTGGCAATGCAGATATTACCATGGGGATAAATTCAAATAAAAGGTTGTGTATGTGTATATATATATATATACATATATATATATATACATATTATATATATGCACCAGGCCCTGCCACCCCCCCCTCCCCCCACCCCCCATGGGATGGGTCCCATATACTGGCCCCATATGAGATCTTCCCCCTCCCCCCCTGTGGTGTGGTGGCGGTGTGGCGCTGTCCCCCTCCCCCCCCTGTGGTGTGGTGGGGGTGTGGTATGGTATGTTGGGTATGTATGGTGTGTATGGTCGGTCTGGTATGGCATGTTTGGAAAGTATGGTATGTTTGGTAGGTATGGTATGTATGGCATGAGTGGTTGGTATTGTATGGATGGTAGGTATGGTATGTAAGTCTGTTGGGTATGGTATGTTTGATATGACAGTATGTATGGTCTGTATGGTATGTATGATTACTATGATGGTATGGCATATTTCCTATGTAAGGTATGTATGGTATGTATGGCATGTATGTTTGCTATTGTATGTATCGTAGGTGTGGTAATTACATTTCATATGTATGGTATGTATGGTGTGTATGATAGATATGATAGGTATGATAGGTATGATAGGTATGATAGGTATGGTATGCATGGCATCATTGATTGATTGTTCGGTACGGTATATGTTAAACACAGGTGGTGTTGTGAGAGTACACAGGTAGTAAATAGGAAGTAGATACAGTAGATACATAGCACATGTATATATGACTATAGGTAGCACGTAGGTACTTTCAAGGAGTATATGTGCTACGTAGGTCGCCTAAAAGGTAGCATGTAGCTAGTAAATGCGAGGCTGGTAGTCAGAAATACTGCAAAGACCTAGCAAATACGAAGCTGGACCTCAGAAATGCTGCCAATAGCTTGCAAATAGAAGGGAAGGGGGGCTGCTACCTGGGGACCCAACCCATGGGGGGGGGGGGAGAGACGGAGGACGGGACCATATAACCCAAGGGGGGGGGTGGAGAGACGGAGGACGGGACCATATATATACATATATATTATATATATATATATTCATATTATATACATATATACATATATATACATATCATATATATACATATACATATATATATATACATATTATATATATATATATACATTATATATATACATACATATTATATATATACATATTATATATATACATATTTTATATATATATGTACATATATATATATATGTACATATTATATATATAAACATATTATATATATATACATATCTTATATATATATACATATTTTATATATATATATACATATTTTATATATATACATATTATATATATATACATTATATATATACATACATATTATATATATACATATTATATATATACATATTTTATATATATATGTACATATATATATATATGTACATATTATATATATAAACATATTATATATATATACATATTATATATATACATACATATGATAGATATATATATACGTAAATATACACATATTATATTATATATATATACATGAATTATCTATCTACTGCCTTTCATTTTGTTTAAGGGCTTCAAGATACCATCTGCCAATCCGTGGATAATGAAATCACGTCAAGTCGTATTACCTGAGACACTTGATATCCCCTCACCAAAGGGATGACATGCAAAGTGCTGAAGTGGAAGATGTTTCCATCGTTTGAAGCTTCATGATCCCCTTCAGCATGGGGATATGATGGGCTGCTTACAGGTAGAGCCACTGATATCCCACATGTAACCGCAGTGACCATGGCTTAAAATAATGATAACTAGAACTATCCTCCAGAAAATCTGGCAGGGTGGAACATTCCGGGTTTCAATCCATCCATAGATGTTCTTCCGTTCTTCCCAAGAAAAAATGATATCCCAGCCACGATCCATCGTTCCAAATCCCAGACCCATCGCGCCTGCTTCATCACCCCTGGACGCGTGTGGGATATGGCATGGGTCATCCCAGAAACCGAAGTTTTACTACTAAGATAAGCGGAACCATCTGCTGGTTTTATCGGGAACCAACTTGCACCTACTACCTCGCTTCCCACAGAACTGGCCAGTAGAGGATTCGTTCAGAACTCATGTTTTGCCTCTCTCAAAATTGCAACACATCGCATTGGCAGGCACAAAAATGATGATTTTCCAGTAAAAATGACCACACATATGTTGACCCATGTTGATGTATGTGGCTTTTGGCCCTCTGATTGTGGCACATCCAGCTGCAACCCAAGGTGACTGGATTTGGCTTCCCTACGGAGCTTCAGCTTCTGCTTCATCCCTGCACGAAGTCATGATTTGAAAGAGGAACAGCCAGAACAGCCAGGCAATCACACGACAGAAATATCTTTGGGTGTTTTTTTTGTAGGAATTTCTACCAACCAAATTGGTGTTTCCTGAAAGATATCCCTTTATACCAGTGGTTTCATTATAAAAATTGATACTAGTTGATACCTTGGATCATAATTTGGTGTCCTCCTTTT